CACTTGATGATGACTTTTTTTGATAGATAAAAATGAATAGTATTCAACTATGAACTTTCAACAGTAGACATTTTTCCTTTTCTATTGTTTAAGCTAGAAGAAACTTATAGCTTTCTTTTTTAGAGGTAATATCAAATGTCTTTGTAGTTTGACATGTAAAAGACTAATTTTTTCTCGGATTGATTTTTGTCCAAAATACATTAATAGCAATAGTCGAACACTAGGCTCAAAAAATATTTTATTTTTCATATTTTTCACACTCATAAAAATATGATTCAAAATTTTGTGCTAGAGAAGTAGCTTCCAAAACGTGTTTTACTCTTACCTTCGTGGTCGCGTCGTATTAATCGAATGATTGATGCCTGATGCCACAGAACTTTTATCATCCTGTCCGGAGAAAAAATATTCAATTTTGAAGTGGTATTGCATAAAAGTGCTGATCAATACCTACTTGTAGACTCTGTTCGCTGATTGTTGGCGAACGTTGTATTGTCACTAACGCCATGAGATTAAAGTGGGTTAACTTAAGAATGCATCATCTACGAAACAAAAGAATTATTACCATATACCCATATCAATATAAAGTTTCGAGCATTTCACGATTCTGTACGATGACTTTGAATAAAACAAACTGTGATGTGATATTTAAATCAATCTATCTCCAAAAATACAAGAAAACACAGAGGTTTGACGTCGTGTAAAGATAAACATACGTCTCGATCATAAAAGGTGATGTTTATTGGAAAGGAAACTGAACCGATTTTGTTTTCAAAGATTGGTTTCAAATCGAATCGATTCCACTTCCAGTAGAATACCTTGGAAGGAAGTAGAAAAAAGTATTAAACGAGCCTATAATAGTCAAGAAAAACTCAATCGATCATTCACTCCTCCCTTTTATTTAATTTGTGGTTTGTAAACTTTTTACACTAATGATGCCCATAAATAGATAGAACTTGGTCCTCGCACTATCCTATCCATATTTGCTCTAGACACAAGAGAACATCATCCATGATATACCGCAACAAGACTCAATTGATCAACCATGAACTACTGATTGCTTGCGTGGAGAGATGGCGTTATACAGAAGCAACAGATACCATTTTGCAGTACTACAGAAGATTAACAAGTAAATGTAAACATTTTACTTAAAGTGTTAAGTGTCAACAACTGTACGAGCATTGTCGAAAGTTTGAGCCCTCAAAAGGGGATAAAGCCAACGTTGGCTAAACACTATTTTACGAGAATCTTGTAGAACTCGCTGAACTCTATTGGAGAAAAATAAAAAGAATCTACCGATTTATTTAGTAGAAACGTCCGTAATAGATATTTATATTGACAGGGTTTATCCCTATGTTTTCGATTGCGGTAAAAATCGCCTTGATATGCGAATAGATTAATTTAAAAAGTTGATTAGGATAGTTTGATGAGGCATTTAATTCTCAAATGATTGAGATTTTTAGACGATAAGATAATAAAGCTTCAGACTAGCGCACATTTGTGAAATTGTGAAAATGAAAATCTTGAGAAAATCAATTTTTATTTGTAAATAATAAGTGTGTTGAAAGCTTACACTTTCTCTAATAATACATTGATCCGCTCCTGATTCTGTTAGACTTCGCCAGAAGATTCATCTATGTGTACTGTATCAATAGTAGAAATCTGGTAGAAGACTCTCTCATTGAATTATGACAGAAAAATATTTTTCGTAGTTATCAAAATAGAGACATTTTAAAGTAATCTTTTAGACAAAAATCAAATCTCTATTGGGCATGCTTGAACTGCCCACTGTGTTCTCATTATGTCTTAAATTTCTGAGAATAAGTATTACACGGTATGTATTATGTGTCCTGCATTTTGGATCATAATAGATATCATGCAATGTGCATTCTACAGGAAGGGTGCTATGTACTTTGCAGTTTGTACTCCATGTTATAATAGTATTTCTATTAGTGGATTCTAATAACAGTACTACTGTAGATGAATGTAGCTAATGCTCCAGTACAGAATCTACTATTTCTCCACCATTTTCTCTTCTTATAATGGATAATTTAAGTTTATGCATAGCAATGATCTAGTTATTATTCTAAATGGATCTGATGATATGGTTTTAATAGTACAGATAATCGATATTTTAATTTGTTTTTATAAGCGTTTCCTTAAAAACGGTTAAAGTTTGTTAATGAGGATTTCATGCTGGAACTGCCAAGCCATAACAGACAACACATCAAATTTATACGAGAAAAAAGAGAACTACGGTTACGTTGTGACGCAAAAATAAACTATTAATATCTCTTGGATCAGAAGTCATCAGTATTCCAGTGATAAAAAAGTAAAAATAATATAATGTCTTGTAAACCATTTAACCAATAAGACCGAAACTTATTATGAAATAAGCGTTAAATGAGTGAGTTACATAACTACACAGAATTTAGAGTTCACAACTATCAATGATGTTGATTCACTATGTTCACTTCTGACTTGTTAGACAGACATCCAATTTTTTTACGTTTCAATCATTTTAATTGGTTTATTAATGTTCGTCAACATTAGAATCATCACACTGTTAAAAGAAATGTTAAAAGAATTTTCTAATTTTTTGTTCAAAGACGGTTTTGAGGGACCAAACTCAAAATTGTCTATTCGAAAAATTCTTGAAAGACATATTACTCTATTAATATTACTTTTGTCAGAAAATTAATTTATTATTAAGAAAGTGCGTTTTAGTACGTCTGGTAGATTTTTAGAACAGTTCTTTGGTAATGCATCTTCCCGTTGTATATAAATCTTGAAACAAGAGTTTTTGCTGGAAAAGACAGGCGATGCACATTGTAAAAGTTCTACTTTTGTAGAATACTGTATATTAGTTATTATGGCATCGAGCTGATATTGTCTAGCTAAGTAGACTAATTAACTGTTTTTCGGTAGAAAAACGATATTTTGTAGTCATTAACATATTTTCTTGAAGATAACTTTCCATTTAACTTAGTTCGAAGTTAATTTGTTTTCCACTGTTGAATGACTTTATTTAAAATAAAACAAACAAAACAAAAAGACTTGAAAAGTACGAGTATATGAGTGATCATACGTAAAAACACTTTGAAAGAAATTGAAAATCATAAAGGTATTATGTACTATTTAACAAAATTTTTAGAGAAACCAAGACGTACTTTCGGCTTCTTTACTTTTATTTACTGTTTAGTTTCATATATAGTTTTCTGATCATTCAAGGAAATATTTCGATCAATTATCCATGCGATCGATCTCTCAATAAACATTGTAATCCTGCATTATCCGCACAATAGCAGACTCGTTTTGCTCGCACACTTGTATTCGGTAAGCAAATTTGACCAGCCGTACAGTCGCCATTGTTAAGTCCGCATACATTATTTACTAAAAATAATTAGAAAAAATGATGTATTAATCTTTTACATTCATGTGTAATATATTTTACACCGTAGCTTCGAAAGTGGTTAAATTCTAGTATATTCAAAACATCTCTATAGTTATCGATATCACTAAAGCTTAAAGACGTACCATCAGGCGGACAAGAATTTTTGACAGCTACCAAACCGTACAGTTTCCCATTTCCTCCAGCGGGTAGTAGTATTGTATCGGCTGTTCGATCACCGGTTTTGTCTACTCGACCAATTTTATTCCTAGAACAAAAATATCGTCTCCTATCTAATTTAAAAAATTGATGATCGCCATTACTTACGTTGTCCAGTCAGTCCAATAAGAGTATTGAAGTCCATCGTTCAATGAAAATATCATTGTTGTTTGATCTGTCAATACTGTACGTCTATTTGATCCATCATCTCGTACACATTCAATCATTTTAGTTTTTGCATCTCCCCAACATAATTCACGTCGATGATTATCGTAGTATAAACCATTTGGTAGTCCAAGTTTTTCTGAGACGAGTATCTTTCTCTCGCTACCTAATGATTGATTATACAACATCGTTTAAATATCGAGAAAAATATTTAGTTACTTACCGTCCATGTTACTTCGTTCAATACGTGGATTTTGCCGATTCCAATCGGTCCAAAACAAGTATCCACTATCTGGATCAACTGCGATACCTCTTGGATATTGGATATTTTTATCAATAATAACTTTTCGAAGACTTCCATCGAGTCTTGCTACTTCAATACGTTTTAACACAGAATCAGTGATAAACATATTACGAGAGACCCAATCGACAGCTATTCCCTCAGGACTACCAAAACCTTGAAACAAAAAAAAAATATTCATTTTTTTCGTTATAATATCAAATAATACAAACCATCTAGAATAATTTTTTGATCTGTGCCATCATATCTCATTCGCTGAATATTCTTTCCAGCTGTATCAGTAAAATATACAAATCGTTGTCGACAATCAAGCGAAATGCCCACCGCTCGCATACCTTAAAAGAAGAAATATAATTTTATCATGGAAAATTTGTGCGTAGTTGACATACGAGGAACATATAATAGACGATTTTCTTCAGATGACCCAGATCCAGTTAATGGCACTTTTAGAATTGTTTGACCCTGATTGACGATTAAAAACTCTTCTTTTGGACCACCAAATGTTTCATGACATCTGTATTATTAATTAAAAGAATAATAAACATTCTTTTTTAAGTGAAAAAAAAATATTCGTAAACGTACTGTACACCGTTTCCCACATAGCCAGTTTTACATTCACAAACATTATCTTGAAGAACAGCATCATATACGCACGATGCATGTTGTGAACAAATTGTTACATTTCCGACGCATGAATCTTTAATTATAATTTATGTTTTTGATCAGGAACAGTTGTAATGTTTAATTATTATAACTTACGTTCATGTCTACAGGTAATACCATCACCTTTATATCCTGTCTTACATAAACATACATAACGATCTATTTGTTCATTATGAAGACATTGAGCATTGATATGACATTTATTTTCAATATTACAGGATATTACTAGAAAAACAAACAGACATAGGTATATATATTCATGAACTTAGAGTAAATTATTCAAATTAGTTCACACTCACCATCTCTTACACATGTTGAACCATCATTGATGTAACCCGGATCGCATACACATTTTGAAAATCCTCGACGTTGATCATCGGGCAAACACCTTGCATTTATTCCACAATCGTCATCTGACTGACAAAAATGTGCCGAACATTGAAATCCGTCACCATAAAATCCTCGAAAAGAAAACATAAAGTAAATCACTGTTCAATATAAACATATACATAAATTTCTATACCTTGTTTACATTGACATTCATATTTTTGTGTGGCATCATTTAACATACAATCGGCATTGATATCGCAGTTATAATATTCATTACATGGTGTAGGTGTGCAACTATAAATTATTAATAAATACTGACATGTTGAAATAAAATTAAAAATAGAATATTTTTTTACCCCTCATTTTCAGATGCTGAATATCCTTCTTTACATACACACTTTGCCAAACGGGTTTCGATGTCATGAATGCATACGAAATTTTGTGGACAAAATTTTGTCGCACATGTTTCAACTATAATGATGGAACGGCGTTGTTTATAATACTAACAAATGGTACATGTCTCACCTCTATCCTCAATTGGTTTACAATAAAAACCGTTTCCAATATAATCTTTTGCACATTCACAACTAAAATTACCATACAAATTTGTACATATGGCATTTGGATGACATGTTTGGGTAATTAAACACTCATTGATATCTAAAGCGGAGAATAAACTATAGTATAGAAGACATTAGCATACTCTGTCATCTCTTACCATCACAATAGCGTATTCCATCACCAGCAAAACCTGGATTACATTTACATTGATATGTCTCTTTCTCATAATCTGGCTGACATTGTGCGAACCCATGACATGGTGTAGAATCACAAGGATCATTACGAGGTGCTAAATGATATCAGAAAGAGAGAGACTTTTAGAAGAGTTTTATTCAGATAATAATTGTTTACTTACCCTGCGTGCCAAATTTATTAACACTAAAAAATCTTATTGTTGCATCGTCTACACTATGATAGATATAGTTATTTTGACTTGAAACAACAACTTCTGCAGCCGATCGATGAGGATTATTTGGACATTCATAAAAATGTAAATGATCTTCAATTTTAGAAGTGAAATTATATGTTATCGATTGATTCTGATTGTTATTACTGGCAGTTAATTTATAAACGAAATCTTCTTTTGCTGCGTAATGGCCTACAATGTACAGTCAATAGAATTAGTTCATGCGATGTAAAAAAAAACTGTGCTTACCCAATGATTTTTTCATGTATTTAACGTTCAAATTCTCTAATTTAACACTCAAATTTCCCGGGGGATGTGGTAATGTGCCATTAATTTCTGTTTCAACTTGCACTATACCCGCTTCAATGCCTTTGAATACTTGTTTTATTGTTACAGATGTTTGTTCCGTAAGATCATCATCTTCGAATACTTTGATAATTGCACTGCGATTCAACAGGCCACCTAAAATGAGTAAGCAAAAGTAATTTATCGATTAAAACATTCTTAACCAAAGTGCACCTGTTAGTGAAAATCCATTCTCAACTTGTTCAGAAAATTTATGCATTATGCCAAATAACCATCCAAATGTTGATGAAACAAATGAGAGCTGTTGCAATGTTGTTTGAATAATATTCATATTTGTCAATGAACTGTGTATTCTACCATCTTCAAAATAAATGTACCCACGTAATTCTGAGTCGATGCTGTGACCATTCAATGTGCCATTTACTTTTCCAATAATAGCGTAATTTTCTTTTTGAAGAATAGAAAAGAACGAGTAAGTAATGTTGATTTAAATGGTATTACCAAGTACTATTACCTGCTCTTTCACATCTAAGTCCCGAGCCGATGTAAGGTGGTTGGCATCGACAACAGTAACTGCTACTAAAACTCTCGCATCTTGCATTACGTGAACAAGAATGACATTCAACAGCATCTGAAATGATACGGTTTTTGTTGAAGATATTGATGCTCTCACAGTTTAACAGTCGAATTTAAGAGATTTTGATTCAAGAAGAATCAATGTACGTAAACGGTAACCTATTACTGTGAAAGTTGTTCATACTGTGCATCACAAATCAAATGTGAATTGCAAGTATTCGAAGTGCAAACATCTGATGCATGTTATAGCAAAATAAAATCTCATATGAGAAGTAAAAAGTTATTTAATTGAATAGGAGAAGGCTGACAAACTATTGTTAGACGCAATTCTCTCATCTTTCAACAAGGAAATGGAATGAAATTCTTTTTTTTATCTGTGATATACAGTACTGGAAAAAATTATAGAACCACTGTATTTTGGGATTTTTTCTGTGAAGCTGAGTGGCTGGGTCAAATCCGAATAGTGATTTGGATAGCCCTTGAAGTTCTCTGTCAAATGCAGTATGCGTCAAAATTCCAGAAAAAAGGTTTTGAAGAAAGTTTTCTAGAAAATCCCCTTCAGCGGAGCTCTAAGTTCTAGAGAATTTTACCAAAATTTTTTCCAATATAGTCATCTAAAAGAGCATAAAATTCTGAAACACCTGAAGCGTCGCACAGCTATCCACAATCTTTCGTTGCAAAGTTACAGGCATCAGAAAATCCAAAGAAATAGTATAATTTACGATAAAAACGCTAAAAATTGCCCAAAAAACCAAGCAGAAGCACATTTCTCTGGATTTTCTGATGCCTGTAACTTTGCAACGAAAGATTGTGGATAGCTGTGCGACGCTTCAGGTGTTTCAGAATTTTATGTTCTTTTAGATGACTATATTGAAAAAAAATTAGGCAGAATTCTCTAGGACTTAGAGCTCCGCTGAAGGGGATTTTCTAGAAAACTTTCTTCAAAACCTTTTTTCAGGAATTTTGACGTATACTGCATTTGACAGAGAACTTCAAGGGCTATCCAAATCACTATTCGGATTTGACCTAGCCACTCGGCTTCACCGAAAAATTCCAAAAATACAGTGGTTCTATAATTTTTTCCAGTACTATAAATGCTACATTCCTCATACTACTATTTAGAGAGTAGAGTAGTTTTCAATCTTGTAACCTCGTTGAAAAAAATGTGGACCATCCTTTACTTTTCCAGTAAAACCACCTGATTTTTGTTCAACAGGCGTTGGTTTCTTTACTTTAAAGGTGTGCTTATTCAGAGTAAATATCATCTTCATGATATTAACCAGCACTGCTGCGAAAGTTTTGCTCTAGTTAAAATATCGCCTTTAGCCTACGTCATTAAAAAAACAACTAGAAATAACCATATTCTAGTATAATAAAACCTCTTACCGTAGATTTTCGTTTGATAGGGAGTAGATTGAAAGTTGGAAATATATCTGAGGTAGGACTGTTGTTGCAACATTTATTGCAGAAGTACAGAAGTACTCTACTCCTTGCGGATGCGTACATACTGTTTTATACCTATTATGATGAAATTTTCAAGTCCGAGTAATGCTCTATTCCAGAATCATATGCAAAACTCAATCACCGTTTTCCCTACTTTTCCGATTTTTGATATTTTGATGATTTTCATTTTTAAACTCGATTTTGTTTTTTGAATTTAATAAATTTATTTTACAACAGCTTTAGTTACAGTCCAAATCTTGGAAGCTATGAAATGGTCCTTCCCAAACGCGGCTTTTTTGTAACTAAAAAGCGGTTGTAAAACAAATTTATTGGATTTTGGTAAAACTTGAACGATTCAAATTGGTGAATTGTGATTATTACTAAAATTCAAAGCTTTCAATAGAAGATATTTTACCTGATGGAATGGACATGGATGTGGTTGTAATCTCTCGATATGGCGTTTGATACAATTCTGGTTGTTTGAAAACATTTGGTGGATACATTACTATGTAATAACAACAAAAATATGTAATAACTCATTGCCAAGGGATTTCTAAAAAATATTCTTACTATCTGGCTGGGGTTCATCTATTTCTTGTTTTTCTCCACTTGTTAATATATGAAAACGTCCGTACTTTCTTCTATCTCCGATTAGATATATCCAAACTCCTGGTTTCCCAATATTGGATTCTCTAAAATAGACATAAAAACGTAAAATTGTGTGAAATGTGCGCCCGAGATATTAACCTCAAAAGCTGGTCAACTCGTTCTGTTCCTGATCCTGGTAGCAAAACGGTATGTTGTGAAGTACCATCCTGAAATACAGTTTAATTTTATTAGTAAAATGTTAATTAATGTTTTCTCTTTCTATTACCGTAAATCCAGCTTCACCATAACGATCTTCACTACCACTTTTTCCTTTATTAAAAGCAGACACAAAGTCAAGACGAGAATACATAAATATAGCAAATGTTTGAACGCCATCGGTGACAATCGCTGCTTGAAATGTATTCCTCTAAAACAATAATAAATAACTATTTGCAGATTTATGCGTTCTCAAAATGTCTCTATTAATACCTTATCGCTTTCATCTGGAGCAGAACGTACATCTCTCCACGTACTAACTAGTAGTGAATTTGGCTGAAATTGTATAGATTGTGGGAAACCGTCGACGATCAATTCTTTCGCTTGTTTGAGTAATGATTCTTCTTTTGTATATCTGAAACAAAGTTTTGCAATTGATTATGCTTTCAAAATTCCTTCTTCATAAAACTACTTGTAAAGTATAGATCCGTTTTGAGATATATCGATATCGGCCCAAAACGGAGCCACAATAGCGTAACCGCTATTTGTTGTCAATCGAATTTGAGGGAAAAAGTAAGCGATTGGTAATTGAAATGAGAAGAAGCCATTTGTATTGATCTGAAAATCAGTGTTAACAAGATGTGATTATTAGATTTATATGCACAGTCTTTGCACTGAACTATAGTAGATAAACTAAGAGTAATTAACTTACATAGACACTTTCATATCTTGTTGTTATGAACGGTATTTCCGGTGATAAAATAATTTGTTCCGATTGTGTATCGTCTTCCTTCGGTAACGATATTCCATCTTTATAAATGAAAAAATCTGCTTCTGTTATACCATTGACAACAATTAAAATGTTAATTAAAATAGGAGAAAATAAAATATTTAAGAAATATTTGAACATTGTCGATGAATTTTTTACAATAGAGAGGGAAATAAAGTAAACAGAAAAGAAGAACGAATGATACAGTTCATTTCAAAAATTGTGTGCACTGATACAGAAAAACTTATGTTCATCATTCGTTTCGTTCATTTTATGTCATAAGATGAATGAATAAAATTTTGTCAACCCTATCGATTCACCATCTCATACACGCACATATATTATGTAAAAGTCAATGTTCATTCGTACGTAATAATACAAGTGTGTGTAAAGACAAAGCAATCGGTCTTTTCTTTTCATTGTATATCAATGTTTTTATTAGTTCTGAACAGTGGTACTTGAACAACATAGAGATGGCATAACAACTGCTCTTTCACAATCAAAATATTATTTGACAAAAACATATATTACTTTTGACTGTGAAATGTAATCTATCGTCAGTCAATGAATATTTTCAAACTTTTGAAAGGTAAAAGCCTATGCATCAGAGTTCATTCGAGTTCATATATTGTGACGTCAATAAATGATATCTAAATTGATCGGTTTGACTGTTCACTAAGCCTAACACTATTGTTGACACAGAGTCTTGTTGAACCAATGTATTACCATGCAGTTCTTCATTTATTATTTGATTATTTTGTTGTATTTTTTTATCATTATTATTTAGTTTCTTAACGCGTATCAGTATGAAACGATCTATTTCTATCAAACTTTTCGGCTTGTAAGACAAAATCATCTAATTCTGGGCTTCTCCTTTCGTTTATACGTGAAACACTAAAGAAATGGATGAACTTCTTCAGAAGATTCTTAATGATTTCAGTAAGATTTTAATCCAATTTTCTGCATGAAATTCTCTAAAAATAATTTCGTATTTTATTATAAAATGTACAATTAAAAAAATACTAAAAAGTTTCAAAATAGTCAAATTTCTAAACTATTTTTCAGCGAATACAAATCTTGTTTTTCATAATATTGACTAATACAGACACTAAATGCATCAAATTGAATCTCAAGCGCTGTCGAGTATGTATTTTTCTCGTCATGTATAATAAATTTGTTTTGGAGCTAGTTTTATACCACAAATGGTCACTTTATCTAAATTCTTCTAAAAAATAACAAAAAATTTTTCTTTTCGCTTAGTCTATTGAGATAAAATAAGATGCTGAACTTTTTGCAATTTTATGTAATAGAGAAGTTGTTTCTCTTCGAAGTAAAAAGAGTCTGAACTCAAAATGATTAATTTCAAATGAGCTATGAGAATCTTACGCAATGGTGCGAACTACTGTGTAAACATAATGTTTTTGGGCAAAATGAAGGAAAGGAAAAATTTTGTCATGTAACCATGCACTAATCGACAATCAGTTCGCTCTAAAAAGCTGAATCAGCTATGCAGTTTTATCAGAGCTGAATAAGACCTCATTAAATTTATCGTCTGATTCGGAGATAAAAATTCTGATCACATCTAAATCTGCTGATGGAATTAGCACTGAATATTATGAAAAAGACTATTTCCGAAATTTCAGAGTTGATTTCGGTGAGATTTTTCAGCTCTAAATCAGTTATTAGAAGAAAAAACTTCATATAAATAACAAACATTTCTAAATTGAGAGAAAAATTTAAAACAGTACAAAAATAGATAATTGACTATCAGAAATATTTAAAAACAGACTGTTATGGGAAGACTGTTACTATCAAGTGCACTCCCTAATTTCTGAGCATCATGCGGTTACTTGAGTCAGCCGTGAAAACACTAAGCATAAGAGTATTCAGCTCTGAATCAGTAGAAAGCAAAAAAGAAGAAAAAAACTTTTTGTCGCTAGTAATTTCTAGGTTTTTGTAAGCTGATTCAGCTAAATGTCGATCAGTACAATTCGAATGTGAAATATTCAAATTAAAGTAAAAGATCAAGTTTTTCAAGCAGCATGTTTGATAAAAGAATTATATTAGTTCGAACTATCAAGAGAAAAACGAACAATACTGGCATTTATGGTGTTTCACGTGTTACTATAAATACACGTACTCTTGAGCTGATAATAACGATATTATTGGCTTCCTGTTTTATTCACAATTGTAAAATAGTAAGAATAAGTTCAGCTGTATCATTCAGTAGTACAAGTACAAGTTTACAAGTACAAGTACAAGTCAACGGTAGTACAAGTTTTTCCATATTCTGCCTAGCACAAATGGCACTGAAGTTTAGCGTTAGAGAGATCATTTCCCAATAGCACGTAGTTGCCTGTGACACATTGTCTCAACTATAACATGCTATAATTTAAGATTGTTTTAAAACAGTAAGTGTATTTCAATTAACAATTAAAATTTAACATTATACAAAATTATAGATGAAAAAAAACAATTGTCAACGGGTATCTAACAAATAACGATTCTAAAAAATATGTTGAATGAAAATAGAACAATAATGACCCATGCAAACTCCTAAAAATTCTAAACATTTTCGCGCATATGTACAAGCTTGATCAAACTGATCTTTTAAATGATAATTAGCCAAGAATTCGGCCAAATTCTTGAAAACTTTTAACCTAATAAATTGTAAATTTTTATTGAGTTATCAATTAAAATAAGAACAGTTATACTTGTCCCATTTCTTGCGTGCGAATCAATCGCATGTAGCCTCGTGCTGCATCTTCTTTGTCTTTTAAATGATCACATATACTGGAGTCAAAAACAATAACCATTACAAACTATAACCTTTCCATTTCCAAACTACACACTGAACCAGAGACTGAATTCGGTCAAACGAGTTTGACCCGAATCCAACTCGATCTGGTCCAAACGTTTTATGACCCGTCTCGAACCCGACCTGAAATTTTTTTCCGTGATCCGAATGAACCCGAAAAAACAATTTTCGCACCAAAAAAAAAGGGGGTGTAACTTTAGATTTTTCGCAGAAAAACACATGAAAAATTGAAAATTTTTTCCGGTGACTCGAACGAGATCCGAAATATTTTTTTATTTGACCCGAAGATTGATCCGATCCATTTCAGTCTCTGCACTCCACATATTTTATCAATATATTTTCTTCAATATCACCAACACAATAATCACGCCAATAACATTCTTTTGCTTCATTTATTGTTTGTGTTCGTTCATATACTTCTTTTCAAGCATTGTACCATAAGCCATTTAATCTAATAACGTTGTTACAGATATTATTCATGTGAAATATCATCTAAACCAATTGTATTCTGTGTCTTCGTATATAAATATGTATAATTTCGGTTTAGGTAATCCAATATAACAACTTGCATAAAACACGTTTCTTATGTAATTTTCCAACAACTTCAGACTGTGTCTGGTCAAATATCACCATTTACTAATACGTCCAAGCATTTAGTTGACAATTCTTAGTTCACAATCGTCGCATGGTTTGTTTGCGCCACAGGTTGGAATCAATTCCTGTAAAGACTTATTTATGTTTATTAAGACTAGACAATTGTTTTCCGTCCGTGCATTGTCAGGTCTGCTGCAAGCCAATGCCGCTTTGACGAGGATGATCACAAAAAAGGCATTTATTCCAGTGTTTCATTCAACAGATTTTATCGTTAGAGTGTCAATCATAACTAAAATTATATGAGTGAACTTTTCTACGTTTTCCTCAAAAAAGTTTCGAGGTTAACTACCAGATGGGTCAAGAATTGGGATAAATATTGCTGAACAACAAAGAAACATCTCTGTTTGACCAAACAGTCCCTGTTTTCCTCGTTCCATAAACATCAACTCTGTATTATTCCTCTTATACAAAAATGTGAATCGAAATTTAGTACGAACTTTGAATTTAATCTTCAGTTAAGTAGACTGAGTGAAACCCAAGGAAACTTATTGCTTTTCACCCAGAAAATTTTTTCTTTCTTTCCACACTGGGTTTTCGCGTTCGAGTCAGACACTCATTCTCGGTTATCTCAAATCACACACATTGATGATTCGAAAGTAGAGGACGTGTAGATGACACATCTAAAGTTAGTTTTCGGATATTTTCTTTAGTTATCCTACAATTGGTGCACAAAATGAGTATATTTTTGAGATAACTATCGTTTTTCCTATGAGATAATTAATCGTCACGTGATTGTTCATTTTATAGTGAGTATATGCTACAGTACTGGATGTGATGAAAGCTATACTATAGTAGAATATATGACACGATAATGATCAGCTGATATAGCAATGTACATTCTTCTTGGGAGACAGTGAAACTGTTATAACTTTCTGGATGTTCTAATTTCGTCTGTTTACCGTTTCACTCAGTCGACTTTCTAATCTTCCTGAAGAGTAATTGGCATCTAGTCTATGATTTCTTTCTGACTCTTTCTTTGATGCAAAATTGTAAATTGTGGATCAAAACAGGGAAATTTCATTGCAAAAAGTTATGCATGAGAGAATGATATAGAATTGTCAGCCTGCATGTTATCGAAACTATAGGCTCATAGGAAAAAATGTCAAAGATACAAATGCCTGTTCGTTTCGTTGAGTATCGGCACCGGCAGTTATGCAATAATGGCAAGTTAAAGTTTCGAAAATCTTTTTCGTATAACTTTGCACAATGCCTTAATGAATTTTCGGTATGATCTAGACAAAGTTTCTTTTAAACTTTTATGATCACCAAGTCAGTTTTAATATCATGGACTAAATAAAATTACTACTAAAAAAAATATTAAAAATGAAAGCTAAAAAAAGTTCCAATATACATCACTGTATCCCTGAAGAGGTGCAATATGGTATGTTATTTTATTGTTAACATTAGGCGATTTAGTAACAGAGCATTTCACAGTGAAAAAATTTTAATGAAAAAATAAAACTCGGTATCCTTCTGAACGACGTTTAACTAGCGTTGTACTGTTTAAATAGTAAAAGGCCGTTATCGTTATCTCTTGATTATTTGAGTTTCTAAGTGAGCAAAAGCGGTACAGAATAAGTCGTTCAATGGACGACTATTTTAAGAAGTCTATTTAATTATATTGAACCACCAATTGACACGTCACTCCAGTCTTTTATGTGTAACCCTGAAGGATCTAACCATTTTGATGGTTTTTCTCTTTTTCTTAATCCCACTAACATTGATTTTTCGTCGTCTGATAGCAGTTTACCTATCTCTTCCTCTGATTTGAACCCGTTAGCTTCGTTCTGGCAGCCTAATGTTTTTTGCAACAGGGCTAACTATAAACTTGCTGTTCTGAACCACAACATACAGAATCTAACAACTCATTTTGATATGTTCCAGGAAACCGTCTTATCAACAAAACCACACATCATACCTCTTCAGAAAACTAACCTATCTTCTGATATTTCCGATCAAGAGTGTCATATTGGTGGTTATTCCCTTTATAGGCGAGATCGTAATTACCATGGGGGTGGTAGTCTAGTCTATGTCTCTGGTTTATTGCAATATTCTATCATCGCGGCGGATACTGACACAGAATCTCTTATGGTAAGCGTCACCATTAACGATCGTATCTTCATTATTTGTAAGTCTTATTATTATCTCTTTTATCCACCTTCATTCGGGACGAATATTTTTCTAAACTGGCAAGTGTTTTCGGAGGAGAATGCTCACATTCTAGTAACCACGACAAAAGAATCTTGTCTTGATTATTCACTTCTTTCTTCTACCTGAAAACCCTTACGATTACTGATATATCTCAGTCAATTAAAACAGGTATCTTTCCCTGTCAATGGACAGTAGCCAACTTTTCCACACATCTTGCTCCACTAGATACTCTTCAGAAGCTTGTGGCGCGCATTATTACCAGAAACTTTGATCTTGAAATAGACAGTAATGCTCTGGCTATCCAGTTGCGGCTGCCTGATCTTACCGGGGGTAGGCACCTTTTTCATCTTGTCTCTTTTTACAAACTATATAACAACTTTTCTCTCCTCAATCGTCAAGAGTATACAACTGCAGTTAGGAACACGAGGTCACTTCGCTGTAGCACGAATTCTCGAGCGGTAGAAGTGCCTTTTATCACGTATGAGTCGGTCCAGTCCCTGTTTTCTGAAAAACTCCTAATGACTGGAATCCTCTATCAATGGAGTATATAGTCTCCAAACCGGTTCTCGCTGCTTTTAAAGATGCTCTCAAACTCTTTCTTTAAATGTAAGACTAATGATGTTTTTTGTTTCCGTTTTCGTCTTTGTTGTTATTTTGTTCTCTTCTTTACTTTTTTGTTTGTCCCTTTTCTTCTTTCTCTGTGAGCATGTCGACAAAGTTATCTGCATAGATTCTTAATCAAATCCATATTCTTTTGTTGCAAACTTTTGCACTAGCAAAACTTTTTCATGCATCCATAGTTATGCCAGAATAAACTGAACTAAAGAATACCCTGTTGATTGATACTTTTATATGATCATTTAATAACAACACGAATAAAAAAACATTATTCTCAATAAACAGATAACTAATAATCAACAAAAAAACAACTGTATAACAAACAAACAAATGAAAAAAAGAGATAACAAAGTTTTAAGAAAGTTTAAAAGAAAAACAACAACAACAACAATACCACTGCCATTCTATTAAGTGAGAATAAACGGTTTTTAAATAAAAATTTGGAAGAATGTTGAGCGAATAGTATGGAATAATAAGAAAAAACCAATACTTTTTCATATAATTTTTAACTTCTAATCTAATGAGCAAACACGGATTAGTAGACTAGAAACGAACTGTTCAAAACTTTAGCACCAGTTAATGTCTTGTAATTAAATATACTCCTAACGAGATGTGTTATTTTTCAATGTTTCTTTTTTATTCGTATATCCAATGAGTAAACCAAATAAATTTTTAACTATCTCACGTCGTTCTCGTTCTGTTAATTGTTTCTTATGTTCCGTTGGACATATTCTCATTTTATATGTCGCTAATAATTCGGTATTGAAATTTGGTATAGTCGTAATAAACAAATCATCCATAAATGATAAATATTTATCGTACCATAATTCATACAGATGACCAATTAATGATATTATGTTTGTAATTAGACCTTCATTTTCACCATGACGTTGTAATGATTTTAGTAAACAACCAAATAATAGTTTTACATCTAATATGATAATAGTGTCCATTTTTGTTATATCATGATGTAATCTCATCAATGGAAGAATAATTGGAAGAAAACGATTAACACAATAGGCATCAGGAAATGTTAAAGATTCGAATAGAATTTGTATAACAGAAGTAAATAAATTCATACATGTACGATATGATGTTGAATTTGAGCCTGAAAAACAAAATTAAACCGCACTTTAAGTGTATCGTTTGATCATATAAACTATGGTTATCAGAATTTATACCGGCAAATCCGCATATCAGAGATTTCTACTTTTTAAAAAAGCCGCACCTATTCGTTTTTCAAATAGTTCAAGCCGAACCAAAACTGCAAATTCTTTTTCAAAGTAGAAAGGAGTGAAAAAATGTTACAGATGCTTTACTAGGATTTACTTCTCATCAGAGAACATCATTTCATACGGAAGTAGAGATTTATTTTTGATCAGCAGTAACCTAATTCTTTCATATTAATCCCAAAGAGCATATTTGTATTTTTGATACAAATCTTTAAATATAATGTTGAAAATGACGATGAAAATACAAGACAGTGAAAACTATGACTTGATGACTTCACCAATCAAAAAAAGAATTTTTTTTCCAAAATCTTTCTATTTTTTACAGATCCTTCGAAAAACAATTGTTCAAAACTGAATCAAGCCCACTTTTGATGGATCTGCAATATTCAAATCAGTCTTCTTCAAAACTTCTCGTCAAGCTTTTCCTTAAATTCTTTTCAACTTACCACTTCGACATATTTTAATCAAATATAAAAATAAATCATTGTATTCGATTTTTTCATTTGATATATTTAATTGTTTAATCGTAAATTGTTCGTTGCTGTTATTATTATCAACATCGTCTAGCGTTGCATCGATATCGTTATCTTCTATATAGTTCATTTCATGAGTTCCATTTGATACTTTACTTGTTGATATTTTACGTTGATTATCTTGTTTTTTGTTACCACTGACTGATATAATTGGTTTCAAAATAAAGTGTCTTAATATATCAACAAAATCTCTTGTCAATAAAACACATAAACATTCTTCAATAACTTCATCTGAAACACAAGAATCGTTCAATTGATTCTGTTGTGACTGTTGTTGTACTTCATCTGACAATAAATTTTGCCACATTTGTCTTAAACGCTGTTGAATATAGGGTAAAAATATGTCTAAAAATGATGAAAATAATTCATTCATTGACGATTGTTGTGGCTGTGGTACAATTAATAAAGAAAAATGTTCAACAAATGGACGGCAAAAATGTCTTAATATAATTCGTAAACGAAATGGTGGTATCGTATTTAAATTTTCAAATAAAATTGTTTGTAAAAATGATGATAAAAAATATTGTTCTTGTTGCTCATCATTTAATTTATTATTTGTTACTTCTTTTGTTTTAATTGAATATAAACCATGATCATAAACAAAATAACTTCCTAATAATTGATACGAAATATCGAATAAACGATGAGTATAATCGCGTAGTTGATATTCACACGAACGATTTGATCCTTTAAATTGTGAGGAAGGTTGTTGTACAACATGAAACGGATTATCAGATAACATTGATGGGCTAGAATAGACAAATGATTGTAAGTTGATGGGATACGAATAGAGGGTCTAAGCGTCTGTACGAGGGCCTCATTTAAAACTGCAGATCGAAAAATAAAGGCATAGCTGCATCCACCGATATTTTACAAACATAAGTGTTATCGCGAAAATCCATTATTAGAAAGTAAAAATAAAGTAGTCAGTCAATGAGCTGTTTTCAATCACTCGACTATTATAGAATGCTCTCTGCTCGTCAATCTACTTCTCGATTTCAGCTTTCCGATCATCTCAATGATAATACTGAAGGAAATGCTTTATTCACTTTAGTAACAGGGAAGAACACGCTTAAAACAAATTACCTGAATATCGTTGTTGTTGCGACTGTTGCTTTCGTTATATTATTACTTTCATATGTGCCTAAATAGATTTGTTTTTCCGTTTCACTAAATGATAGTAAACTTGTTTTGGTTAAATCATAGAAGGGGTTTATATTTCGATCGTATAATTGATTAAGATATCGAATTATTTTTAATACATAATCAAACAGAAATGGCCGCAAACTCAGAATAATTTTAGTTTTAAATGATATTGGTATGTGATCTTGTTGCTGTTTTGAGAATTTTAATATACAACACAAACAATGTAAACATAGCATTAAACGTCGACGTCGCCAGCGATAAATAGATTCTTGCTCTTGTTTTAAATTTGTTTGACAAAAGCCTGAAAAACAACACATTTTATATAGAAAATTTTTGAATGTTTTTGCATTGTCATTCAAGCAGAACAATAATTAAACCTCTGATTCAAAAAGTTTAGCTTTCGAAAAGTTTTTATAGAAGTATTTTGATCTTTTCCACAGAAAGATAGTCTGGAATCTTCAAAAAGGATATCCTATTGCTAAATAGGATATAGAAGTGTGATAAATCCAAAGAAAACGTCTTGAATCTTGGTTTTCTGAAAAACTTGAGAAGTATAAAAAGATTCTTTTTGCAATTTAAATCATACTGTAATGTGACGCAGTATTTTGAAAGCTTTCAGGGTATGTTTGTTTAGGCAAGTACGGCTCCGCTCTTAACTTTCAAACGATGAAAACCGTAGTTTCGTATCCATATTTTTTCGAGAGTTATTCAAGAAATAGTGAAGATCATCTATTTTTTAAATAAATAGTAATCTACTGTTGATTCGATTCATTTATGTATGTCTTAAGTCATAAATAGTGATCTCTTTTCTTCTGATGGATAATACAACGCCAGTACTGTTCTAATCTACTAAAAAGCATTTTCTTACCAAAATATTGAATGAAAGCTGTTAATGATGTTAAACAGTTGTTCAAAAATTCATCCGATGAAAAAAATTCATAAATTGGTTTTAATAATTCATAAAAATAATTTATTTGTTCATCATTTGTCGTATCGATTGTCAATTTTTTATATATTAAACATAAAGTTGCATCGAGTAATTTTAATATTGAACAATTATCATCAACATTAATAATTGTTGACAGTTTTATCGAATACTGCTGAAATTCATTTTTAATTAATTGACACAAATAGGGATATAAATCAATGTAATAATCAATTAATTTTAATGTGTAATTTTTACATAAATACAAAAATGCATTTGCCGTTTGATTTTGTATTAAATCAGATAGATAATCACTATTCATTGTGCCAGCTAAAGAAACAAAGAAAGAGAAGTATAGAGATTACGAAAATTATACCATCATCATGCTATAGTAAAGAGAAACTCGTTTCTCTATTAAAATATGTATAGTAGTTTCATATATGGACAATAGTATATTTACCGATCGACTGTTGTTGATTATGTTGATAAGTTGTTAATAAACGTTGCAAAATTTGTATTGCTAAAGTTTGATCATAATTTGTGACAAAAAACATCACTGACAATATATTGAGTACATAACCGTGTATACTTTCATTCATTGATGGTGTAAATTGTAAAAGATATTTTATCGTATATAAAAATTGTTCAATAAGATCAGGTTTCATCAATAATTGTTGTTGTTGAATTGCTAAATTGTTGTTAATATCTTGTGGAAATAAATGTTTACATAGAACAAATAAAATATGATCAATTAACAAATAAAATGATTCCCATTCACTAATAAGATAAACTGTTAACAGAGACGATTGATGATTAAGTTCAACTGATGTATGTTGTATTAAATTAATCATACATTGTATCACAAATTTTAAAATCGAATTTAAATAGTTTATATTATTCGATTGTTGTGCTTCAGATAAACTTCCTAAAAATAAAATAAATGAGTTTATAAATAACTTTAAGATAAATTCTCTTTTAATATTTATCGTTGGCAGTATTTATAGACTAACGTTTGTTGGTGATATTATTCGTTTTTTTTAACGATAGTTTTATTAAATTTGCACAACGACATGATTATAAATGATTAATCTTCTTACCCGTTGTTGCTGTGATGAAAAACATGTCAATAAATGTTTTAATTAATTTTTGTAATTCACATCGATATTGTGAGAAAAATTTCCAAAAAAATTGTTCTTCTGAGTCAAATTCATACATAATATAACATAAACATTGTTGATTATGTTGATATTGTTTTGCAAAATGTTCATTTGTGTTGTTTAAAATTGTTGTTGTTAATGATGATGAAAAATGAATACGTAATAATGATTGTTTTAGATTTTCAATTAATTTTATACAAACTTGATCATTTAGTAATAAAAAAACGAGTGATGGTTGTTTACTTATAAACATGTTTAATGACTGATAAGAATTTAATGATAATTGATGATATGGATGATCGTTTAGTAAGAGAAGTAATTGTAGAAACGATTTTGTACGTTCGATTAGAAATGATAAAAGTTCATTATCTACTGGTGTTCGTGATATTAACTGGTGAAATAAATTCAGAACATGAGTGGACATTTTTAATAAAAATTGTCCAATCATCCTAAGAAATGCCAGATGTTCATTGGTAATTGATGTTCGCAGTTGTTCAATTATCGTGTCTATCGTCTATGAATAATGAAAAAAAGAAGCTTGTGAACAATTCTAATAGTTTATTTAGAAAAAGAGTTCGTTTTAATCGTGTATCCTTTAATTCTAGTTTCTCAAAAGTTCTCTTTCTGAAAAAATTTGTCGTTTTAGTTTTGTTACACAAACAAAAGCTAAAATTGTTTAGTATCGTACCTCATTATTAGCATTGGTTTTATTGCACATGACTAATCGATAGAATAATTCCAATATATTATCATTCAACAAATAATTTAAAAATATTCTTTCCTGTTCATAGGAATGATTTGATATTGATAATGGTTTTTTATTTATTCGTTGTTGATGTTTGGAAAATCGTCGATTAATTAAATTCAATAAACATTCGAATACAGCATGTCTTAAACGTATTTGTTGAGTTAAATGAAAAAATTTTAAAAATAATTCGATTAAACATGTTTCATATTGTTCAACTTGAGCATAATCAATCCATGATAAAAAACTATTAAAACATAATAAACATGTTTCAATTAATCGATCACTATTTAGTACTTTTTGATGATCATATAATAAGAGATAATTTAAAATTCTCATTAATGATGGTAGAATATCGCTTAAACGTTTTTGTAATTGATTTAATAATTGTCTACGACGTTGTGATTGAATTGATTGTTGATAAACGGTTAAATCTTCATTGAGAAAACGATATACTAATAAAATCAATTCTAATTGAGTCAAATTACGATTACCAAATTCATCTAAAAACAGCACAATAACAAATTAAAAACATTTTATATATTCAATATAAAAAATGTACTTACCATTCATTGTTGCTTGCTGAGTCAATGTTACCAATTCTTCAAGCGATGTATTTGCCTTTTCAAAACATTCACGTTTAATCATTTCAACAGTACAACGTGCTAATGCTGTTCGAATATATATTGGCTCCATAAATGTATCATTAAGACAATTTTTAATCAATAAAAATAATTGTTCTCGTAATATATTTCTTTCATCTTGTTTCAACGTTAACCATTTATATTTAATTATGTTCTCTATTAAATGTATACCATAATGATGTAATAACGGTTGTTGTTGTTGTTTAATTAATTCAAATCCAATTGTACAACAGAGTAAAACATGATTCTCTTTTAAATTTTCTAGATATTCTAATGCAACTTGCTTATCAATATTTGATGATAATTGATTAAATGAACATAATACAGCGCTAATAACTCGTTGAAATAAATCAGATGTAAACGGTAGATTTTCTTGCATTTGTTGTGGTTGCGATAAAGTCGTTGGTGAAATTGGTATTAACTTTTTCATTGTCACCTAAATAATCGAATACACTTCTGACGTTCACAATAATTTAAAAACTAGATAGAAATCAATGAAGAAAAATCTGAAATAATGGTCGTTGTCCTCTTCTATTTTTATTTTCTATCGATCTGTTGCCCGTCTTTCTTCGCTTTACTTAAAATCGTAACTCACCGCTTCTATTTGTGCATCAAATTGTTCGATTTGGCTGTTATCTCTATTGAACAAATTTGATGTATGACAATGACTACCGTTCATCATTTCCAATTCGTTATGCATTATCTTACAAGTTTCTTTTTTATCCACTAGAAGAAGAAAAAAAATATATATATGATAGAAAAATATAGTAGATGATATAAACAAAACCTACCGTAATTATGTGGAAACCACTATTGTCACGTAACGTTTATTTGTTTTTTAATAAATTTTAATTTTTTTTCTTGTCGTAAATAACGACATAAACAAAAAATGTTCATTGATGTTCAATATTTTTCATTGTGTAAACATAGACAGATATCTAAAATCATAAACAATTTTTTTTTTATTATGTTACGCAGATTCTCTGGTGAATATCGCATATGAAATTTTTATTTAAATACATAAAAATTGATATAAACAATTATTATATTTACACAGCTGATAAAAAAAATAATTCAAATTATTTTTTATTTTTTCTGACATTTTTTTTACCCAAAACTGATTCCACTCTTAGACAAAACGAGAAAATAATAATTAGTACATATTGAGTTGAAGAGTAAGGATGAAATCTGTTTAATGTACTATAGACAAAGCGTACGTATAACGAATGTCGATTTTTTCAATGTAAAGCACGTGTTATATTTAAAAAAAGAGCGAAGAATAAAAAAAAAAACGAGTACTTCTGAATAAAAGACAATATTGCCATAATACGTTGAACATATAAACTATTTCTTTTCTTTGACTCTCCTCTTTATATATATAGCTATGTGCACTAGAAGAAGTGAAAAGCAATGTAATTGAGCAATTACGTGCGATGATGCAATCACAGGTTAAATGTGGCTTATCAGTTTTGCAAAACAATTGCATCAGATGGAAACCATACCTGGTTATATTTTGTCAGATTTATTTGTGAATTAATCATCATGTGTGAGGAAAAAAAATCGATTATGCAGAATAGCAACTAATTTGTTGAAAGAAGAGAACAATTGCTTGTTCAATGTGTTTTCGAATAAGAAAGCATTTACGCAAATATATCTTTTATTATAAGTGTTGACCTTTGCAAAAATATTTTATTTTGCAAAGAATAACAGAAAGTTTTCTACAAACGTTCATTTACTAAAAAAACAAGAATTTTTTGATTAATAAGTTTTCTCAAAACTATCTGCAAGAGGAAAATGTATAAACAATTATACTCATAACGTTGATCTTTGTTTTTTGTTCTTTTGGTCAATTCAATATGATAAATATTCACAGGAAGACATTTTTACGGATATTACAAGGTTTTTGTAATATGGCTACTTCGAGTCTTTCGAATCGAAAACCGCGTAATAAGGGAAAAACTAATAACAAAACGGAGTTTTATTGCTCACCGTCCATCTTAAGTTTAGCAATCTTCTGAGTGTTTAGCTTATCTTTTGAAAAATAAAATGAGAAGAGCAATTATAATGTGTAGAAATTAGTTTTAAGCAAATAATTGCACATCGTTCATCTACAGCTGTTATAGATCCGAATCATCTTTTTACCTAAATCCGTATAATCAGGTATCATCGAAATCACATGATTGACTGGGGTGAAGAGTGTAGAAAAGGAAGAACTTTTTTTTAGTGAAAAGAAATACGTATCTTGTATCTTGTTTTTATTTTTTACGACTCAAGATTAAGAAATCAAATAAATTTTGTTTTGGGTTAAACCATGGAACACACCTAAAACCAATAGAAGTATAGCATTGCTTAAATCTTTGAAGATAAGGCGAAAGCGACATCTTTTGAAGCACTTGTTGTAGTGTTTTATCAAAAATGTAAGTTAGAATACATTTTTGCTACCATCTACATGACAAGAAAACGCCTGAAGTCTACGATGGATAGACTTATTACTCGTTTCTTTGCTTAACGTTTGTTGGCCTGCGGTTCAAGACCAATCAAAAGAAATGTCGAGATGAGTATGAGTAAACAGATCGCGCGTGCTGAGAAGTAACTTCATCAATATAAAATGTATATATTACATTAATCAAATAAAATGTGCTTGTAGAACGGAACATCTTTGGATGGATTAAAGACACTATATGTTAATTAAGTGAACGTGTTGCTTTTTGCCCGCTAAACTATCGGTGAGACAAAGAAAAACAATTGCTACTCTGACGCTGCATTCGCTAATCTCATATACAGTTGAATATTTTGAAATTTATCATTCATTAAAACCAGAAAAGCGCAGATACTATCAGAAACATTGTGGAGAATTAACTTACTTAAGTTTTAAAACGTTTTAAAACGAATACTTACCGTCATGTCTTGTATGCGTCTTAGTCCATTTCGTCTACGTTTTTCTGAATTTGGGCTACAATTATAAATAGTTTTTTTGCTTCAGAGCTAGTTGTTTGCATTGTTTGTAGTTCTTATTTATCCAAAGATTTAATTTATTAGTAAAAATAAACTAAACACGTTTCTTTGTATTTCAAAGTGTGCTCTTTCTGACAAATAAATTAACTTAAATAATTATATATATAAAGGTATGGAGAAAACAAATCAATGCATCGTTTTGACATAGGTTACTAGCTTCTTCTTTATCTATTTTCAAACATGTTGCATATCCATGTCTGATCGAATCTAACAGATTTGTACTGAATTTCGTTGAAATCCGATTACCGGATCGTAGGATTTTCGTCAAGATGTAACGATTGGAATGTTCAAGCTGAGTACATTTTTCTGTTAATGGATTTATTTTTCTTTTAGATGCAGTAACGATTATTTTGGCAAAAATATATTGACAGCTATTTGTTTCATAGCCAATATAAAATGAATTCTTGTACTCCTAGGCATTTTTCTTATTTTTTAAACTTTTAACAAAACATAATTAAATGAGTGATTTAATAACCAGTTATTCACGTCAGCATCCTGAAATAGAGGATAATAATGAAGATGAATTTGATGATTATGGTTATCGAAATGGGACAGATGAAAGAGTGAATAAGCATTCAGAAGATTCTGTAAAATTACGTAGAACGAGTAAGCGTATAGTTTGAAAAAAAATTCGATTAACCACCTATTTTATTTAAACTTAAACTTCATTCAGATTCTGATAGTTTCCTTTAATTCTAGATTCATCGAACAATCCAGTCCTTCATCGAGCATTGTCAACAGTATCAGCAAATCAATCACTTGTGTTTAATCAACGTACAACAATCGCAAAAAATTTTCGACGAAGCAGTGTAAACGATCAGATTGTAACCATCGACCATGCAGAAGCTGATGCCTCATTTGTATTCACCGATTTAAATTCGGTAAAAGAGGAAATACGCACGCGTATTATGGATAGTTTAGTTGATCAACCAACAATGACAGCGTTAGAAGAAACAAGTAAATTTCTTCGTTTGTTTTTTGGTTTAGTATATATATAGAATTATATCTTTTTTAGAACGTTTAAATTGGTGGTGCACCAATAAACTACAATGTCCCCAACTTTATCCATTGTTAACAAGTGGAGATGGGAATTGTTTGTTACATGCAACGTCTCTAGGTAGTATTTGAAATGCAGTCATAAATTTTTTATATGAATGTTTTTTCATTACTTTAGCGATGTGGGGATTTCACGATAAATCTCTAGTTATGCGAAAGGCGTTGAATGAAACATTAATCACATCAAAACCGAACAATTCGTTATATCGAAGATGGCGATGGTCACAATCTGTTCAAAATAAGAAAGTATGTGCAAAGCATCTTTTATAAACAAAATATCTGGATACATATTTTTATTTTAGTACGGTTTAGTGTTTTCTGAAGAAGAATGGGATTCTGAGTGGAAAGGTTTGTTAAAATTATCTTCGGCTGAACCAAGGACTTACCAGTGTAAAACGTCCAATTCCATTTCAAATAATGATTCTAACAATCTCGATGAGTACGTAGTTCAATCTTCAGTTTTTACTTTTATTGAACTTTCCTTTTTTTAGTCAAAATTTTAATCAGAAGTTATCAAATCCAACGACTACAACAACGTCAAATGTGATTACGTCTCATACATCATCATCCATTACGACTGCAGTTACTACCCAATCCACATCAGTTGATAAAACATCATCATCGACTACAACAAACAACATTATCAAACAATATTATGAAAGTTTAGAAGAAATGCATGTTTACGTGTTGGCTAACAATATAAGACGTCCAATCATTGTTTATTCTGATACGGTTTTACGTGATCATTCTGGCGAGCCAGTGTCACCTATTAATTTTGGTGGTATTTATTTACCACTCGAAATTCCTCCTGAAAAGTGTTATCAGTCGCCAGTGTTTCTAGCCTTTGACGCAGCTCATTTTAGTGCTCTTGTACCGATGAATCAAAATAGTAAAGTAAAGTGTAAGTATTATGAATATAGTTTTGATTTTTTTATAAATAAGGATTCTGTGTAAAGTTATATCGAATGTGAGAGATGAATTCTATATTTGCAGCATATATGTATAAAAGGTCTCAACAAAACCAAACATATTGCTTTAGTTAACGTTTTTGGTTTCGTTTATGATTAAAAGAAGATGCAGTGTGCAAGGTTACTCAATAAACTCATTTAATATTTTTAAGTTATTTCTGTTCTCTTCAGTAACATATCGTATACCATTGATTGATATTGATACGTTAGATTTATTACCACTTCACTTTGCTGTTGATCCTGGACCATCGTTCTGTTGGCCAATTGATGAAGAATTGTCAGATAATATTATTCAGCAATATGATTTACAGGGTGAACGTCGAATGAAATTATTGGAAAAATATCTAAGTTTATGTAAAGAATATACACCTCTAACTACGTTATTTCCGTCAACTTCTACACCTAACAGTGCCGTGTCATCATCCATCTCCTCTACTCAACATCAAATAAATGAAGAATCCAATAATATTGATCCGTCAACAACAAATGTATCTGAAATGAATGAGTCATTGAATTCTACTACATCAACGGCGCCAACTGTAAATAAAAAACCATCAAAGCCCTTAAATAGTTTCGGTAAAATACTTCGTCGTACATTTATTGATCCATTTTCACAATCGAAACGGGCTGCAGCTGCTGCAGCATTACGCGGTGATCATCATCAAACATTAGGTGATTCTACACAGTCACAAAATGCATTAACATTTGAGAATGAAAATAATCACGATGACGATTATTTAAATCAATTGTCATCACCATTATTAAATCCTCGTACGAATATATTAACAATCATTATGGTAAATTTTAAGCCAAAACAACCTCGAGCTTGCGATAGTATGATAAAAAATTATATTGAAACGTGTGTTCGAGAATATCGTGCAGAGTCGACCAAGGTACAACGAGAAAACATGGATGTGAATGATAATACCAAACAACAAGTTGAGAATAACAACAATTATAATCGTAGTGTCACAACTACTAATGATGACTCATCTCTAAGGATATCAAAAAAGAATATTTTAGCAACGAATCAACCGTCATCCCCACCATCAACAGTAGTTAATGATAATCAACGATATACTGGTAGGCAGATTTGAGAAGTTCGAAGTGTAGAAAAATAGTTTAAGTATATTCTGTGATACATGTCTCTCGACATCAATGCACATTATACTAAGAAAATCGCGTGATATGAAACGATCAATAATAAACATCTTTCTAATTTTTCATTTATTTTAGATTCATACACAAAAAACAAAGATAGTAATGTACAACAACAACCACACGTAACAGTTCGATCGCAACAAACTCGAAATTATTTCAATGATTCTCCCGATTTCAATGAGAAGAATATAAACTCAAATAATCCGAATGCAGGCAGAAAATTACCAAAATTACCATCTCAGTCCGGTAGTCTCGCTCTTGCGAACGTTAATTCATTACCAAAGCAGCAGCAGACAAATATAAATTATAAAATATCGGAAAGACCTAACGAGCAAGTGGCTGATGACGATGATGAATCAGAGGAAGAAAATAATAGATTTTCATCTAAAAACGGATCTATTAAAGCACACGATCATCCTCATATTGCCGATGTATCTCAGGTAAGAAATACTTTTTTATTATATTTATTCACTTTTTTTTATTATTACTTATTCACTGCAAGTATACCTTTGTTATTTGAAACTTTCTAGTAATTTGTGCCATTTGATAACTCTTAAATCTTTACGAAGAACAGACAAAGAATGCTGGTAACACTGGCAAATCTCTTTTCGTTTCAGCGTAATAGTTTTGATTCATCAAACCGTCATTATCGTCCATCTGCGTATTCAAATGGTTATAGTCATAGTGGCAGTAAATTGGATGCAACCGGTTCGTCTTATGAACATAAGAATGGAAATAGTCAAAAATCATTACAAAGTCCATCAACATTTACCGTCAACAATGTTAAACGTCAACACTTATTGGAAAAGACACAATCAATACCGTCGTCTTATTCGGTTAATTCAACAAGTTCACCAACCCGTTTAACAACAACAACAACACAAATAATGCGAAACAACAGATGCAGTAATGATAACACTGGAATGACCCCATCACCTCCTTTGGTGTCAAAAATCATTCCGAAACCTCGTCCATCACCTCAAACATCGACGTGGTATGAATAAATACTAACAACTACCGGTATCTATCGCTCAATGAAACACGAACAATTATAACATTAAGAATAATCTCTCTTGCTCTTTACTCGATCTATTTTTTTTTACTTAATTTTTTTCTTTTTCCGGTGATTTTTATAAAATCGAAGTTTGCGTGAAAACTTGATTTCTTCCTTCTTTTCTCGTCTACTAGACGTAGTGCTGGATTGAGAAGAAGATAATAGACGGATCTGATACGTATTTATTTTCTCATTCCATGTCACTTCATACACACATATACACTACTTTTCTACTAATACCTTTCTAATAATAATACTAATCGAAATGAGTTAGTGTATGTGTGTTGTATTTAATTTTCACAAAAATTACTTCATGTTTGTCTTTCTTTGTTTTTAACAGTGTTTATTTTTTTAGTCTTGTAACAAAAATAGGAATATGTTATTAATGTCAATATGTCAATGTAGTGTGTTTAACTATGAAGAAACAGTGAGACACTCTCGCACACTTTCATCATCTCTTTCGTTTTAGAAAGTCATTAACAGTTTTACAAGTTTCTTCTAGTTTTCATTTTTTTTTTCTGTTATTTTTTTGTGTTGTTTGTTTCACTTCAACTTTGCAAGTATCATTGTGCTTTCCATAACTCCATTTGTGTTAAGTTGTAATAGTGGTTGCTTCCATCATAAACTACGCCAATTCATCTTTAGAAACCTCGTTAAAAGCATTATCACATGCTTGCAATATTGAGGAGTCACGAATGATCTCAGCGCTCATCCTCGTCACAAAACTGAATTTCGTGACTCATTATACCTTGAACGACCTTTTTTGTTTTGTGTGAAAGGCGTTTTGTTTTGATATTTTTCTATTAGTTCATTTTTATTTATTATTCTTGTCTATATGTTTATTTTTCAAAGGTTATTTAAAAGCAAATTCTTTTATCATCTTGTGTTCAGTCTACGAAGTTGATACTGTGCTGTTCAATCAATCTTCCTTTTATCATACATATTTAATTTCTTTTTCCTTACTACTTTGAACTATGTATATATTATTACTTTTCTTCATTCCTAAAATCTGAATAAATATAATGTATCATCTCAGTTGAATTTTGTTTGTCCGAAACAACAAATATTATAAAAACTCAATGAATCATATAGACTGTATTAAACTGCAACTAAAGTGCTCGAGGAGTAATTGTAGAATCTGTTTCTTCTATGTTCAGTTCTAGTTTGACAAACATATTCTCTTTCTATAAAAGTCCCAGATACAATCTGTACTTTAGCAGCATCAGAAACCTCGATCAGTTATAATCACGACCAAGTTATTTTGTTCTACGCGAGTTTTGTAACTTTTCTCTTGTTATAGCCCTATATTAAGCTCAGAATTGTCGATTAATTCTTATTGAATAATGGAATTATGCATGGCGGAATTAATAAGCTTTACTTTATCAAGCGTTTTGAAAAGTAAAGAAACACGTAACGGCAAATCATAATATCGGCCAGAAGATTTGATGTTAAACGTCGAACAGTAGTGTGCTGTTACCATGGCCAGTGATAAGTTTCTTTCATGAGTCTTTCATCAAGAAAACTTATCGTATCAAAAAAAGTGTAACTAGGCTGTAGATTGCTCATCTACTATCCGTTTCAAAATACAACGCCGATTATTTTTTGAATAATTCAAAAGGAATAAAAGATAGAGACTTGCGGTTTTCATCATTCGCTAGCCAAAGCCTGAAGCTTTGTTTTCATAAGCAAAAGCAAATTTGGCAAAAATTTTAAAGACCGATTTTTCAGGAGATCTGTAGAAAACCAGTTCGATTCTGTGAAGGCTGACATAGAAATCTATAGGTTTTTTTCATAGATATATAGTTCGAAGTATCCTCTACAAAACTGGATCTAATCAACATCTTATAAATCCGTGGTTCGGAAGCTATGGACGTTTTTTCTCAAGCCTTAGCACTTCTCTGCCGTTAGATTTGAGACTGTCAGAAATTAATGAAAACATAGACTATCGAGTATGCTGCATCTCGTGGCAATGTTAGTTTTCAGAACAAAAGGCAACAAAGTGAAAACCCATACTAGGTAAAATAATTATTTTTGATTATTTTTTAAAAAATAATCAAAAAAAATTCATAACTCAGTCAAAATCCATCTAACCTACTTCAGAATGTCAGAAAATCCTCTGTTTTATCTGCAGCATACCGTAAAGCTCGGTAAATGTTGAAAAAAACAACAGAAAATACTTTGATTTCTAGAAAGGTGAAAAGAAAAACCTATAGATTTCTATGTCAGCCTTCACAGAATCGAACTGGTTTTCTACAGATCTCCTGAAAAATCGGTCTTTAAAATTTTTGCCAAATTTGCTTTTGCTTATGAAAACAAAGCTTCAGGCTTTGGCTAGTGAATGATGAAAACCGCAAGTTTCTATCTTTTATTCCTTTTGAATTATTCAAAAAATAATCATCGGCGTTGTATTTTGAAACGGATAGTACTTCAATTACAAGAAATATTTGACTCTTTTTGTGATCATCTAAACTATCAAAGATAAGTAAATTTTTGTAACTTTTTTTCAACTGATTCAAGTTGTTTTTCTCACGTTAATATTTCATCTATATGCTTTTATTAATAAGTGTAAAAAAATTCTGAAATTTTATATTTCAGCAGAACATTTGTAACATTATTAAGGTAGTTATTTGTACAAATTGTTGACTAAACACGCAACTGATATAAAAAATATTTTTATCAATTAGAAATATTTATGATGCAGGAATCGATGGTTTAGCAAATTCATCCATCACCACATCATTCTTTTTAACAGTATTATTATTAGCAAATGGAGCATCTACTGACTGATGACCTCGACGTAATTTTGAATTTCGAATACCATAACAAAAATAAATAATTAATCCAATCACAAGCCAAACAACTAGACGTATACCAGTGGCTTTGGACGATGTTATCATAAGTAATAGACAAACGGCAGCTCCTAATGGTGGTATAAACCAAGGGCCTCCGGGTACTCGAAAACGACGTGGAGTGTCTTTATGAGTAAAACGCATAATAATAATTCCAATATGTACAAGAAAAAAGGCGAGAAGTGTACCAATTGAAGTCATTTCTCCGAGAACGTCAATTGGCAATACACCGGCACAGGCTGCGCATAGAACACCTGAAATAAAACGAAGAGATAAAACCTTAAAGTGCATGAGAACTAGAAGCAATATATTACCTGTAATGAGTGTAGAAACCCATGGAGTTCGGAATCTGGGATGAATCTGGGCGATGAATAATGGAAAGAGGCCATCATGTGCCATACAATAGAAAATTCTTGGTTGTCCCATTAAATTAACTAATAAAACCGATGTGAGACCAGCTATAGCACCCAAATCAACGATAATTGCTAACCATTTACCAACATGTGTTGCCTCGATTGCGACGGATATTGGATTTGGCACATTCAAGTCTTTATAGGACACTACACCGACTAATACCAAACAAACTGCAATATACAATATAGTTGATACGACTAAACTCGTTATGATCCCAATTGGTAAATCACGTTGAGGATTTTTGCTTTCTTGCGCTGTGGTGGTTATTGCATCGAATCCAATATAAGCAAAAAATACCACCGTAGCGCCGTGTAACATTCCCGTAACTCCGAATGAATTAAATGACCCTTGAAATAGAAGAAAATAATCTCAATATTAATAATTCAATGAATAATCAAATTTACCTTTGTTTGGGGGAAAAAATGGTGTGTAATTATGGGGATCAACAAATTTGCAAGCAGCAAAGATAAATAACAATACGACTAGTACTTTAATAACGACAATGATTGTATTGACAGTTGCTGATTCTCCTACAATTATACAAATAGTGTGTATACTATCAATAGTGATAGCCGACGCAGAGCATACCAATGCCAATTATAAGAAGGAGTGTTAATGCCAGCACTATAAGCATAGCTAAAAACACAATTGAAAGAAAATTAGTTTTCACTTCAGTCAGAGCATTCATAAATCTTCTTTCCTTCAAAGTTTTAGATGAATGGAAATGGGTAATTCTTGTGAGAATCTACCATCATTACATCTACTTGATGAGAATCGTTCCCGACTTTCAGGACTCGTAGAACTCGATGTACTAATCACAAAAATCATGTTGAAAAATTTTTAAAATGACCACATGTTGTCCGAGGCATGATCGACATCCGGAGATTCGCTAAGGAAATGAGCTTGTGTGCTCTAAACCCTTTTACATGCAAGAATATTTTTAGCTATTAACGTAGATAGTAGTCGGGATTCTGAGCATTTTCTCCAGTGGAAACTTTTTTCTGCGTCTTTGATCGGGAGAATTTCCCGAAAAACTAGCTGTGCTGCTCTACTTCAGAAACGAATATCGGTACTAAAGCAAACAGAAAACACAACACCAATATGTGCATCTGAATCGCAGTTTGATACTCTATTTAACCAGATGCTTTTCAATTTTCCCAAATGCAGTCCGAAAATACAAGAAGAACATCTTTGGAGACTATTTTCGCTATTTTCACAACTTTGCGAGCCTAGAGCGTAAAGCTAGTTTTTTCGAGAAATTCTCCCGACCAAAGAACGCAGAAAAAAGTTTCCACTGGAGAAAATGCTCAGAATCCCGACTACTATCTACGTTAATAGCTAAAAATATTCTTGCATGTAAAAGGGTTTAGAGCACACAAGCTCATTTCCTTAGCGAATCCCCGGATGTCGATCATGCCTCGGACAACATGTGGTCATTTTAAAAATTTTTCAACGTGATTTTTGTGATTAGTACATCGAGTTCTACGAGTCCTGAAAGTCGGAAACGATTCTCATCAAGTAGATGTAATGACGGTAGATTCTCTAAAAAATCACCCCAAAACCTGTTACCTGGTAAATTAATAACCTGACCGGTTACATAAAATGATTGTGATGTCTCATTCCACGACACTGGAGCTGTAACAATCCATTCCTTCGCTTGAATACCAAACGCTTGTTTAAAAAATGCACAAACGTATCCACTCCATCCCACAGCCACGGTAGCAGCACCCACAAGATACTCGAGTATCAAGTCCCATCCAATTATCCATGCAAGAAATTCGCCCATTGTTGCATACGTATATGTATAAGCTGATCCTGAATAAAAGAGAAGAGTAATTTTTCAAAAAATGCTAAAATCATTCTTAATATTTTACCAGATACTGGAACCATAGAAGCCATTTCTGAATATGACATTGCGGCTAAGCCTGCAGCACAACCTGCTACAATAAATGACACAATTACTGCTGGACCAGCAAATTTTGCAGCAGCCTCTCCCGATAAAACAAATATTCCCGTTCCAATGATTCCGCCTATACCCAACGCGGTTAATTGCCAAACATTTAACGATCTTTTCATTTCTTCGTTGGTAACGTCTTTTTCTAAATCATGCATCGTTTTTCTTGTAAACAAACGTTTTAGCCAATAATAAAACCAATTCTGTATCATGATCATTCTGCTATCCATCACTTTAGCATGCGTAATTGTTAATGAACCTCTGACCATTTTTTTGTTGATAATTTTACGATTTATTTGTACGTATGCAACTACAACCGTAAGATAAATTTGTAGTAAACGGGTCAACTGAGTAGTTCGTTTTTTATGTCACAAACTGAACTGATGAATAAAACTCATACGATTTTCTTGTTATATGCATCTCTAGCTGTATATGTCAAGCATGTACATATTTTAGAGTGGATATGTATATATTCAGTTGATATACGTATATATAAACTGTGACTAGAAAGCGGCTTTCTATGGCGACACATTGAAGAAATGAAAAAATTTTCTCTTTATCAAAAAACAAAATACAAACAATGCGAGAACACGATGACAATAAAAAGTCTGTCTCTTACTATATGTTATATATCAGGTCTATACGATTAAAGAAAAAACAGTTAGAAATTTTAAGAGTTTTTCTCTTATAGATTTTTACTTTGTACATCGTACATCTAATTTGAGTGAAATTTTCAGACATTAGAAGATGAATAGGTTACGAAAAAAACTTCAGTCCAAAAAATCAGGTCGTTCAATCAGTTACAGATAGTACAAGAAGCAAACAAAAACAAGGCTTCCAACAAGTTAAGTTCTTTTTGAGATTTTGAACAAAAAACAGTTGTTTTTGTACGATGAGGAATCTCCTTGATAACCAGAAAACATCCTGAAATTGGTGACTTCATTTTAGGGATTATAGTAAAGTGCTTACAACCTCTGAAAGGAGCATCATTTATAAATCTATTCGATAAAACGCGAAAAATTGCCGGTACTCATGAGGCTAAAATAATGCGAAAACCTCAATTTGCATATGCTTTGTAGATGAAAATTCTCCTTAGTCTACGGAAACATTTTGGTTAGTTCTTATAATTTGTGCACATATGTAACTCAATATTCTCTACTAGCCAGCAGTCTCAGAAATATATTTACTTCAAAAGTTCGTCGTGGATGTTTAGAGACTTCAGTTTACAAGAAGATACAAGAAAAACCTAACAAGCGGAACGAATATCAAATTTGTCATCTTCATCAAAATTTATCTTTAAAAAACCTGTTTTACCAATTAAAGATTTGTCAACTGAAAACTTAACATTCAATTACATGATTTCGATGACACCTGATTTTATGGCGTTACATAAAAGATGATTCGAATCTCTACCGCTGTAGATGAACGATGTGTAGTTATTTGCTTTAGCTGATCTATTATTAGCGTCGGTCGATGAACATGTTTCCGAGAACTTCGCATCGGATTTTCTCTGAAATGATTGATAGCCACGTGATACTTAACAGTGTTCATATGTTGTGCGGCATACATAGTCACCAACATCATTCACTGCGTAGGACTGCTTTTGATAGATATCTCTGATACTATCGTCTGTTAATACTGCCTGAAGTACTACTATCGGCGCCAAAATATAGTGCGGCTGACTGTTTTTTGAATAACTTTTTATCGGAATGAGATAGAGACCTGCGATTTTCGCTATTCGATAGCCAAGACTTGAGCGGAACTTTTCACAAGCGGAAACAACTTTTGAAAAAATTCCAGAGATCGGGTTTCCAGAGGATCTTTGGAAAACCAGCTCCGTTCTCGGAAAACTAACATACAATGTTAGTAATTTTTTTGCATGAGTAGATAGTTCGAGCGTTACTCTATAAAATTATGCAAGCCCCGGCTCTCCAGCTATCTTCGTTCGGACAGAGCTCGCTTTCCCGGAGCACGTGTCTATCTCCAAGCAGACATCTCTGGAAATCTCAAAATGCCATGGAATATAGGTAACCGACTACGCTGAGCATAGTGGCAACATTTTTTTTTGTGTAAAAATGAATATAACTTCGCCAGAGGCATTTTTGTGAAAAAACGGTTTTTCGCCTGTTACTATCAAAAATTAAAATCCTTATATCTCGATCAAATCTCACGCTGAGTCAAGGAACCTTTCAGGAAAGACTTAAAGGATGTCATATATTGTTGATCACGCCGAAAAAATGGTCCAGCAGGACACTGACACTTTGAGGTTTTTCAGAAGGTTTCTGGAGCCCGGTTGCCCGGTTTTCACCTCAGAGGATTTTCGTCTTCGATTATGCTTTATGAGTTGTCCTGAGCGTTTCCTGAAAATTTCCTCCAGTCACCATGAGATTTGATCGAGATATAAGGATTTTAATTTTTGATAGTAACAGGCGAAAAACCGTAGTAGTTGCTTTGAAGGTCATGCGTTCTGTTTCAGACTAACCATTCCATGAGGCAGACAACCTTGTCATTTGATGGAAGATTATTCTTGTTGTACAAAAAAGAATGACGATTCCTTGATAATATCTGTACAGGTAATGAAATGAGTGCATTTTAATTAACCGTCCAGATATGTAATTAACTCATTTTACCTTGACGACTTTTACAGCATCATTGGATTACCGTTTTAAGTCGAAAAGAAAAATTAGTGGAGTTTGAGAACAACAATTTTCGTATAAATTTAACGGTTGATGCAGTGGATGTTATACGATATTTCAACCTGTTTTCAAGCGGTGGTTTTCAAACTACTAACGATACTAAAACTGGCTTCAAAAGCATACGCATTTGCGTGTGATGAAAAGGATATAAGTATAAATATTTGTGAGAGTCATTTGTTAGAGTCGTTGAGATGAAATAATGCTTAAAACTAAGACAGTGACAAACAAACGCAATCTTTTTTGAGCTTTCGAGTTCTGCGCTTTTAAGATGTAAAAGATAACAATAGATGTATGTGCGCTGCGTGTGATAAAGACTTCAATTACTATTATGGTAATACTTCAAAAAAAAAGAAAGATAACATTCATAACTACGCAGAAAAGTTTAGAAAATAGTACAATGTTCTTGGCCCACCTCTTAGTAAAATTCCATGTACATCACCGAGGGAGGGCTTAAATAGAGCTGCGTAATCATTTGTTCATTTTTATGAATGTTTAATACTTTTGTATTCTGTGTTACAATTTATTGTTAAAAACACACACATACCGTTCACTATAGTCCATGATATATAGTATACACGTATATTCTTTGAGAGAATAATTAATTACCAACAATTCTTCATATCAGTTACTGGATACAGCCTGAGTACACGATTTCTGTCTTAAATAAAGTCGATTAGATTTTTACCTATAAAGTAAAATGTATTAAAAGTTTTTTTGATATTGAACAGTTCTATTAGATAGAAAATCTATGTTACCATAAGCTGGACTAACTCGAGAAAAACATATCATAGATATTCTCTAAGACGAATCTATTCATTAAGAATTTGTTCAGTTAATTCGAGTCAGGCAGGACTAAGGAAAACTTTTCAAGTCAGTCAGCTTTGACTCTACTCATGTTTGACTTGACTTGTCGAACTGTCAATTCTAGTTCATTGTTGTACCACAGTGCTTGGTGACTCACCAATCAACATGTCCGCCCATCTGTATGTGCAAAATCGAAATTGTGCGCAAATCAAAACTCAGTTCGGAAAGACGAACACAACAGCCAGCGGCGATGATGGGTCATTAAGCACTGTTTTCAAATCGGCACGAACAATTATAGTTGGGTTGGTCACATTGTATTTTTTATTCTTTTTATTTATTTATTCGACAGAGTAGAAACAGAAATATGTTCAAGACCTATATTTAGTTTTTCTTTGTCACTTTTCATCAAAAAAACAGCCGCATATAAACAACGACACGAAAGACGTATAGAAGAAACATTAAACTTTTTGTACAGATACATATTCGATAGTTTTGAATATATCTATGTTCCCCGTTCGAAAGGCTATACATAGAAAAGTTTATAAAATGTGGAATTTTTGTAATACCAGACGTATAATTGTGTTATCATCATACGTTAACTAATGATATTATTCACTGATTAAGTTCTTTTAGTAGATTTCCTGTGCTTTTTATTTTATTGTGATTTTGGTGATTCAAAATTGTAGTGGGCGTTATAGAATAGAAAAAAAACTGATATATATTTTATTTATTGCGCATGAAAACCTACGTTGTGATAATTGTTAGCAGGCATCAAGTTTTTCTTACCAAAATAAAAAAGATACACATGATTTTTTTTGACAACAAATTCATTGCCAAAAGATACATTTGAAATGCGTCACGAAAGAGCCTCGACATCTCTACAACTGTATTGTAAAAAAGTACATGGGATAGGCTCTAAAATGTGTACTAATAAAAAAGCCTTAAGAGGGGACACATTGAATAGCACCTCTGCGGCAGGATACCAGTTATTTTACCCCACAATGCGTCTCCGATAGATTGTATCCTGATCTCTTTGCATTCACCTCTTTGTTTTGTTATAAGGCATCTCTATAATAAACCCAAAATTTTAGCTAAAAAGTCGAAAACTTTTCGATGTGATCCATTGCAGCTGAAACTTTAATGATACATCGCGAGTGAAATAAGTTCGACGATTGGATAGCATGACTTCAAGCAGCCTATATTGATACTGGATAAAAACTGTATACAGTGTGTGATGTATCTAGTCACTATACATGTTATCTTTGAAGTCATCCCGTAATAATACGTACTGATTTGCTTTCATTTCCTCATAGATAAGCTAAAATAAACTGAATTATGTCGGACATATTTTTTTACATTGCAGCAAATTGCCAATGAAATTATTCTACTCTTACTTTCTGTGAATATCCTACATTTCTGTTCTGCATTATATTCACGAAGGAGACACCAGATTCGCATCATTGGGCTGAAGAGGTATTTCCACCTGAAAATGATAGCATTTATCTCGAATGTAGTTTTTATTAATTATGTAAAATAGCTCAACATGCTATGAAATCTTTTAGCATGGTGCAATTTTTATGTTATCACCATTTGGTATATGGAAGCCCATAGTCTGCATGCAGGCGGATATTAGCAAAAAAAAGTTTCCAAAATGATTTTCCGAACGGCCGTCTTGGTAAAATGAGCGCCTCCTTCACATCCCATTTTGGAATTTTACT